AGGTGTGTGCCTACAATTCTGTGGATTCTTCTTTCTGCGAACTGATCTTGGGCAAATTACTTTACCTCACAGGATCTCAGTTTCCTACTAGGAAATATATGGATAATAATTTGAAAATGACTACACGAGCATTTAGTGACTGGCACCTACTATGCTAGAGTTCCAGGTACAGTTGGGGGGGTTGTGCACTGTACAGTCTGCACATCTCTATAGGAGGTGCCCAAACAAAGACTCTCTAGGCTTTGGGAAGGACTCAGAAAGCACAGGATAATTTGAAGATTTTTTTTTTAATCACAAAAGGTGTTTCATTCAAAAAGCAAAAAGGCGCTCAAACACCAGCACCCCCTGTTCAGGAAGGTCAGAGGTGGGGAGGGGACGGGGCAGGAAGGGGAAAGAGGGAGATTCCGGCTTAGCGTCTTGGTTGCCTAGCAACGGAGGCGCGGGAGGAGCTGACGTGTTTGCGTCTCCATGGTGACAGCCTGACCCGCCAAGGCGAAAGGAGGCGATGGCGAAGGACTTGGAGCCTGGATGTGAGTGGCCCGCAGCGGCCTGTGCTGGGTTGGTGTGTGCTTGAAGTCTGATCGCGGAGGGACCGGCACCTCTGAACCCGCTTGGAAAGTGCAGACCTATTGCTGCGGATCCGCTCCAGGGCTTAGGGCGGGATGAGGATGCATGGCCCCCTCAGAGAATCGGTCACAGCCTGTCAAGTTAGGAGGTGGTGTGTGAGTGAGCGCGTGTGCACAGCGTGTAGGGAGCGCGGTGTGCGCGCGCACGTGAGTGTGTGCATGTGAGCGTGTGTGCACAGCGTGTAGGGTGCTCGGTGTGTGAGCACATGTGAGTGTGTGCATGTGAACGTGTGTGCACAGCGTGTAGGGCGCATGGTATGTGTGTGCAAACGTGTGGGTGTGTAGAGCATGTGCTGTGTGTGCATGGCCTTTCCCACCACACGCTGTGCATGTGTGTGTGTGCATGTGAACATGTGTGTACAGTGCATGGGTGTGTGTGTGTGTGCACATGTGGATGCGAGTGCATGCATGTGTGAGTGTGTGCATCGTGCTGGGTGTGCAGTATGTAAAGCGTAGTGTGCGTGTACTTGTGTGTACAGCCTGTAGAGCATTGATTTGTGAGAATTGCATTTCCCACCACACGCTGTGCATGGGAGCATGTGTGTACCGTACATACAGTGTGTGCTGTGCTGCATTTCCCACCAACACTGTGTCTGTGTGTGTGCATGGGCACATGTGAGTATGAGTGCATGCACGTGTGAGCGTGTGCAGCATGCAGGTCATGTGTTGTGTGTGTGTGAGTGCACAGGTAAATGTGTGTGTGTGTACATGGTGAGTGTGTGCAGCATGAAGGTTGTGCGGTGCATGTATGTGCACACGTAAGTGTGATTGTGCACTGTGTGTGGAGCACACGTGAGTGTGAGTGGTCTCTGGATGAGGAGGAGGAAGGAGGAAGGGCAGGTGTCCAGCTGCTCATCAGGGAGTTCCTTAAAGGCGCTGAACTGAAGAGTTCCGTGGCCCAAGCTGTGGTACAATCCTTGTAAGGAACCCCTGGCACAGAACGTCCTTCCTCCTCATGTGCGACGACTAGTCTATGTCCTTCTCTATCTGGCCCTCTGACCCGTGGCAGGGTTGTTGGTGCTGGTGTGTTGGACGCTCCTGGGAATTCGCGCCCAGGTCTTCTGACTCCATAGCCACTGGGTTCCCACCCCACGTCTGCATGAAGCTGGATGATTGGGAGGGCGCTAGGTGGAGAGAAAGTTGTTGGATGGAGCGAAACAGTCTGCTTTATAAACTATTTTCTAAACATTGTTATTTTATCTAGTTGCAATGCATTTAGGACTGTTTACATTCAGGGCAGTGGGCAGGCTGAGGGCGTGGGCCCTGCAGGCAGCCAGCCTCCTGATCTTACACGTTATTTAAACCAGCTGAGCCTCAGTTTCCTCATCTGCACAATGAGGGTGGCAATTGCACCCTACCTCCTGGGCTGTTGCCAGGGCTAAACGCATGTGTTTGCATGCTGACTGGAGTAGAGAGAGGCAGCTATTAAAAAAAATGTATTTCAGTCATTGAGAAGTACCTTTTTCCTTAATATACAGATGCCCCTCAGCCGTGATGGGCCCATGGCCAGATGTGCCCATCTGCTGAAATATCAAATGTGGAAAACACATTTAACACAACAAATCCACCTAACACCACTGCTTGACCCAGCCAGCCTTGGGTGTGTTCAGAGCACTGGCGTTAGCCCACAGCTGGGCAAAATCATCCAACAAAAGGCCTGTGTTAAAACTAAGCGTTGAGCATCTCATGCCATACACTGAACACTGAGCTGAGCATAAAAAGCAGAGGGGTCTGTGGGTCCTGGGCACACAGTTTCTACTGAATGCCCATGGTTTTGGCACCGACAGGAAGTCAAAAAAATCATATATGGAGCCCATTGTGGATGGAGTCATCTGTCTAAGTAAAGGGAATGCACCTGTCCACCCTGTAGCTGTGGGAGGTGTCACTCTTCCCTGTGACCTGGGGTTCCCAGGGAGGCTGGGTTGGGCTGGGGGCCTGTCCCTGCTGGCAGGACCCTCTGTCCTTGTAGCCCCTCAGGTCCATCAGGCGGCTTTACCCCCTGCCTGCCAGCCCCCACCCCCTGTGTCACGTCTGGCAGGTCACCCCATGGATCTGTTTTTCTCTGCTGCTGTAGCAAACGCCCAGGGGCAGCACAGACCCCTCACCTGGTTCTGTGGGCAGGGAGGCCGCCTGGTTGGGCCGACCTTGCTCAGGCCTCACTGGGCTGGGGTCAGGGTATGTCAGGACCTGTTTCTCTCTGGAGGCTCCTGGGCCTGCCTCAGCCACATCACACCTCTCTGTTTCCTTTTTGCTGTGAGTCAGGTTCTCTGTCACCCAGGCTGGAGGGCAGTGCCAGGATCATTGCTACTGCAGCCTCTACTTGCTGGACTCAGGAGATCCTTCCTCCTCTGCCTCCTGAGTGGCTGGGACTACAGGCCCACACCACCATGCCCCATTAATGTTTTGATTAATTGTAGAGTTGAGGTCTCACCAAGTTGTCCAGGCTGGCCTCGAACTCCTGGACTCAGGCATTCCTCTCTCCTCGGCCTCTCAAAGTGCTGGGATTACAGGTGTAAGCAACCATGCCAAACCAACTTCTGCTGCTTCTTACAACGGGGATGAGCCTAGTTACAGATGGGATTGCCATGGGGATGGGTGACAGATGTGTGGACACTGGTACATCTATGACTCCTGCAGGCTCTGGTGGACTTTGTTTATCAACCTGGGGCCAGCACTCAACAGGCTCTAGTCACAGGGCAGGTGGTGACTTTGCTGAGCTCATGATGTCAGTGTATTCATTCCTCCAGAGCTGTCTATTTTTTATATTTGAATTGGAGTCTCACTCTATTGTCCAGGCTGGAGTGCAGCAGCATGATCACAGCTCACCACAGTCTCGACCTCCTGGGCTCAGGCAATCCTTCCACCTCAGCCTCCAGAGTATCTGGAACTACAATTGTGTGCCACTATGCCCAGTTAATTTTTGACTTTTTTTTTTTGGTGGAAACATGGTCTCTCTATGTTGGTCAGGCTGGTCTCAAACTTCTGGGCTCAATCAATCCTCCCACCTCAGCCTCCCAAAATACTGGGATTACAGGCATGAGCCACCACCCCCAGTACCATGGGGCTCTCTGAAAAGGTTCTGTGACAGCCTAGCTACCCTTTGGCGTCACAGTACACAGTGTCCCAGAAAGAAACCCTCTCTCATTGTATTGGAAAATGCCATCTAAAAGGGGCAAATGTGGGCTGACTCATGTTCTGCCAGAAGTGTTTAGTTAGGTGCTGCCTGGGTTGCCGACCTGGAGCACAGATGGAGACGCTCTGTGGTGTCCCTGGTCTAGGCTGTATGCCTCTTTGCCCGCAGTGACACCATGTGGGTGTCAACCAACCATTCTATACGAGCCACATATTTCAATTTTGCAAAGGAAGCAGCCGTGGTCCAGAGAGATTATGAAGATCTTCACTCTCATAGTCTGGAAGCCAACTCGAAAGACTGGTTTCTCCCCTCTTTATGTCCCAGGCCATGTGCTCCAAGAGCTTCTCCATGGACATGGGAGAAGCACAGGCCTTGTGAGAAGGGACACAGGGTCCCCTCAGCATACACACAGCTTTCACTCTGGTGGAGGAAGGGGCGAGTGACTCGTTGGTCACTAAGGTGTCACATCAGCAATGCCTGAGTCATCTTACTATTAAGGGAGAAATAATTCCCCCCAACACAAACCCTTTATTCACTCTCTAGACTGTCATGTAAAGTATGTCGAAGGTGTCCGTTGGCTGGACGCCGTGGCTCACACCTATAATCCCAGCACTTTGGGAGACTGAAGTGGGAGAATCACTGAGGCCAGGAGTTCAAGACAAACTTGGACAACATAGCGGGACCACATCTTTACAATAAACAAATAAATAATCAGCTGAGTGTGGTGGCATGCAACTGTAGTTCCAGCTACTGGGGAGGCTGAGGTGGATTGCTTGAGCCCAGGAGGTTGAGACTGGGGTGCTCCGTGATTGTGCCATTGCACTCCAGTCTGGGTGACAGAGTGAGTCCCTGTCTAAAAAAAAAAAAAAAGACATTTTTAAGCACCGTTATTAGAAAATTAGAATGAAAAGTTCATACTTTCCTCTTAAAATCTTTCCAAATAGCGTAAGAAACATGCTGTCGCATTATAATCCTCTGCCTTCTTTCTCACTGGCTGGAGGGTCCTGGGCTTTGGGACTGGATGGACATCCTATGACCTGGGTGCCCTCCTGTGCTGATGCACTGCCACCGGCATGGGTTTCTTGGACCAGGCCCAGGCGTGCTCTCCTCTCTCTGGACACCCCTCTTTTGGGTGGCGGTTGTGTCAGCTCAGCCAATGCACAGGGCCGTCCTACTTGGAACTAAGCAGGACACTGTCACCTTGTTGTCCTTTCTGAACAGTTTACCTGCCCTGGAGGCACTGTGAGACACGCGGCATCAAGACGCTGTGCAACCTTGGGAAGCTTCTGAATAGACTTCAGAGGGACCACAGAGACGATGTCTATCGCTACACCTCAGGACACCTGAATCCCAACAAGCTCTACCGGCCCCCTGAGACCATCTTACGCCACTGGCCCAATGCCAACAGGCCCAGGGGGGAGCGCGTCCCCAGGGTAGGAAGGCCCCCCGACAGGAAGGTGGCAGAGATGAAGGCGGCCTTAGCCCACTTCACCATCCACACGGCCCTGGTTCCCAGCGACTCCCAGGATACGCCGCTGTTCAGGTACCTAAACCCGCAGGCCCCTCTGTCCCACGCTTCCAAAGAGGATTTCCTCCCCGAGAAGGCTTCCGAAGGAGAGAAAGAGGAGGCCCGCGAGGCATCTCCTGCTTCGCAGAGGCGGGAGGAGCTGAGGCTGCCGGAGGTGAAGGTGCTCAGAAGCAGAGGCCCTGTCTCCAGCCGCCAGTGCACCACGCGGCCCCCAGGCAGGGATGAGTACCAGTATATCAGCTCCTACCTGACTGGAGTGACCAAGGCAGACATGTACAAGAAGTTCTTGAGTTTCCAGAAGGAAGTGCTTGCCAAGCAAGATCTCCTGAAGAACGACTTCACCGGCAGTGAGGCAGCCCGGGGCTACGAGAGGAAGCTGGAGCAGGTGAGGGACTCACAGGACCACCCACTCGTCCTGTGCAAGGAGTCCAACTTCTGAGGGTGGGGCCCCTTCCCAGATGCCTTATGGGTACATCCGGGTAGAAGATAGCAGGGCCTCCAAGCACCAGGAAAATCAGACATGACCCATACATAGTAACAGATAGGGTGGCTGAAGGGAGGTCACACGTGGACACGTGGTGAAATGGAAGGAAGTTTGTCATAGAAGGCGTTCAATGCCATGTGACAGAGACCATAAATACAGGGTGTATGGAGTGACAGAGGGCCTGAGAGTGGCTTCCTATCCAACCATGGGGAGCAAGGAGAGTGGGGAAGAGTCGCAGGTAAGATCAGTGCAGGAATCGCCCAGGTTTAAGGAAGATGCTGGGTGACCTGGAGATCTGCTTGGCTGTGAGGAGAGCTGGCTGTCTGAGACATTACCTAGAGAGTGGGGGAGTTGAGAAAGAGAAGTGAGTGGCCCACTCATGATGGGTCAGGAGGAAGGGAGCAAGGATCTTGGGGTGATTGTGAGGCACAGAGGAAGCCCTTGGGTACTCCCCTTGGGTACTGGGTTCAAGGGAGTGAATGAAAGAAAAAAAAACAAAGGCTATCTTGGGTGACTTAGTAAGCAAAGATCCTCAGCAGCTGGTGGGCAGGGCCAAGACACACTGGTTGGCCACCTATTTCGTGGAGACCAGGTGCCTGTGTGGTGGCAACTGTCCTCTACCTGGCTCCACACCCTGGGAAACCCTGCTCTGAAAGGAAAAGGAAGGCATTCCAAAATGGGCCGGTTCTGTTTTCCCTCCAGGAACTCCAGAAAATATGCACGTGTCACCCCCAGCAGCTCCACAGGCTGCAGGTGTTTGGAGACGTCTTTGAAGATATTTGCAACAGTTCTTTGATATTTGGTGATCTCTTGAGAGAAGTTAAGGTAAGAAAGACACCTTTTCTGCATAACAGTGGAGAGTGACACATGATGTTCTGCACACGCAATCTCAAGCCTCACAGAATCTCTGCCAAGTATGACCATGGTCCCCTTTCTACAGACGGGGACCATCATTCCCAGATGCTCTAGTCATCTGTCTTCAGTCACATAAGTCATAAAGGAGCGGAATAAACACCCCATTAACTCAGCCCTTAAGCCCAAGTCTTCCCACGAAAACTTCCTAATCATATACCAGGGGTGCCAAAACAATGTAGACACATTTTAAGTGATGTATGTATCACTTTTTGAAGTACTTTTCAGAAGTGTCTGGACACTGATGGGAACCATGTTGAGTACCTCTTGTAATTGCAGAGATCAAACGTGATTTGTATTCATCTTTTGTTGTCTGTATATATTGAGTATTACAATTTCAATACAGTTTCTTCCCTTTCTTAATATGTGTGTAGATTTTTGGCACTCTCTGTGATATATAAACCTTTATAAGGGCGCACATGTTATTTTATGTGAATCTTATGAGATTATAGGTGTGCTGTAATTTCATGATGAAAGTGACCATACGGAATCTGAGTTGACATATTGTTTAAAGATCATGCGATTCTGCCACTTCCTTCCTCTCAAGGAGTGTTTCTCCATGGAGACACAGTGACCTGTTCAGCGATGCTCTTGTCACGAGACGTTCACTTTGGCAGGTCGGCAGGACCGATATTCAGTGTCCGTGTGGCAGGAGACAGTATGTTCTCTGTGTCAAGGTGTTTTATGGTAGTATTCTGAGTTGATCCATCATTAATGCTCAAATAGACTTCAAATGTGGTGCATTTTTTTTTTTTTTTTTGAGTCTGGATCTCATTCTGTCACCCAGGCTGGAGTACAGTGGCACAATCACAGCTCACCACACCCTTGACCTCCTGGGCTCCGGCGATCCTTCCACCTCAGCATCCTGAGGAACTGGGACTACAGAAATGCACCACTATGCCCGGCTGATTTTTTTATTTTTATTTTTATTTTTGTGGAGATGAGGTTTTGCTATGTTGCCCAGGCTGATGTGATTTTATAAACATTAGTGCATATAGTGTTTAATATATTGTAGAAACATTTTAAAAAATGTTTATTTTATTTTAAAATTGGGTGTATGTGTGAAGATTTGCTAAATAGGTACATTACGTCATGGTGAAGTTTGGGCTTCTGATGAACCAGCTGCCAGCCCCCTGCCCTGTGGTGAGGTCTGAGCATGGGACTTGGTGGGTGGTTTTGCAGGGTGTTTGTCCCTCCATCCTGCTCTCCCCCTTTTAGCAGTGACCAGTGTCTGCTGTTCCCATCCTCGTGCCTGCCCATGTGCACTATGCTACATAGGAACATTTTACATGTTTTATGTGAAATGATCTAAACTGACACCCTTAACTTTCTTATTATTCATAAATACAAAATCTTGTAGTGCCGTCCCGCAGCACATTTCCGATGGATTTTTTGTTTGCTTTTTGACAGGGTGGATATGAACTCTACATGGCAATACTGCTGGAGTCTCAGCCCACGGCACAGTACAAGGTGACAGTCCTGAAGAACCTGAGTGGGGCTCGTGTACTCATGGCTGCATAAGTCATGAGCAGTGGATACACTCTGAATCCACAAAGCCCTGTGTGTGCCCAGAGTTTAGAATACTTGTATTATACTTTAATTAATCATTATATTATATATAATTATAATACACTATACACTATAATTATATAATATACAATATATAATTATACATTATTAATTGTATAATTAATTAATTTTTTATTAGGGTGGGCTTTATACTAGCTTAAGGGCATTACTGATAAAGAACTTCCCTGGGCAACCTGTTTGGGTCCCCTCCCACTGTGGGAGCTTTTCTGTCCTCTCAGTAAGTCCTGCTTTTAAAAAAAAAAGAACTTTCCTTTAGGTTGGCATAGTATTATTTGCATTCCCAAATCATGACTACAACTAAATATTTATATAACTATATAATATATATAACTACATATATGTTCTAGGATATATATATATATACACATATACACACATACATACATATATACACATATTTTTGTGAATATAAATAATGCTATATATGAGCATATATAAACATATATACACTTTGAAAATATAAAGAGTGCTACATCAATAATTACAAAACCCATTCTTCTCCTGGAGAGAAAGCCACATGAAGGCCAGCATGTAGTAAACTGCTGAAAACCCACAGCCTATTCATTTGACAGGTGATGACCTTCCAGGTGTTTCTTTCAGAGTTAGGATATAACAGGGGATTATTTTTGTAAGAAAATATGCGATAGGAATAACTTTTTATCACTTAAAAAAGAAAAAAAGCTAACACTAGCTGAGATGACTATGACATTTTAAATTCAATGAAGTGCCGGGCTCGGTGGCTCAGCCTGAAATCCCGGGCCTTTGGGAGGCTGAGGTGAGTGGATTGCCTGAGCTCGCGGGTTTGAGACCCGCCTGGGCAGCGAGACCTCATCTCTACAAAAAAAAAAAAAATATCAGCCGGGTGTGGTAGCGCATGCCTGTAGTTCCGGCTACTTGGAAGGCTGAGGTGAGTGGATTGCCTGAGCCCGCGGGTTTGAGACCCGCCTGGGCAGCGAGACCTCATCTCTACAAAAAAAAAAAAAAAAAATCAGCCGGGTGTGGTAGCGCAAGCCTGTAATTCTGACTACTTGGAAGGCTGAGGCGGAAGGATCGCCAGAGCCCAGCAGGTCGAGGCTGTGGTGGCCGGGAGCGGCCACTGCACTTCAGTCTGGGCAACGGTGAGACTCCAACTAAAAAAAAAAAAAAAAATTCAATGAAGCTTAAAACTTGTATCCATTAGGAAACATAGTTTCTTTATTTGTATATTAAACATGCATTGCAAGAAGGTCAAACTTACTTTGTAATCCAACTTCATATGTGAGCATCCTTGTCTTTGTTCTGAGCCTTTTCACTGAGCAGAAAAATAAGGATTTTTTTGTTTGTTTTTGTTTATGGATATAAGTAAAGCTTCCAGTTGGGGAGCTACACTGTTCCCTATTCTTGAGACTGAGTCCAAAAGTACCATATATATCTGTATCTTGCTCAAACATCAGAATGAAAATATTCCCAGGCTTTCCATAGGGTCTGGATCCCTCTCTCTATCTCTGAAAACCTGCTAGTCCATCATTGGATGAGGCTGAGGTCTTTGTTGCTGCACATTTGAGAACAGCATTGCTTTATATATGCATATGTAGTAATTACGCTAATAATAATTTCTCACTAATTCAGAAGACATGATTGTGGTGCTGATAAGAGTGTCCCCGAAGCACTTTATTCAGTATGTCCTCCCCTCACACAGACCAACAAGGACACGCCCCCACTATATAAAAAATCTTTTGGAAAAATGAAATCATACAGTACTGAAAAGGGTATTTTAACCAGAACTTCACTTGATTAGTCACCTCTCCCCCAAAATCCCTCCTTCACCTGAATCCTCCTCAATTGACCTGTTTTAACTAGAGTTTGTATTTTAACCGAGAGCATCTTGAATACATAATCATGACTAAGAAGGAAAGTTCTCACGCCCTTCTGGTGTGTCTGTCTCTCCCTTTATGTGCCTGACCCTGCCTAGGCTCTGCTCTCTCAAGTCAAGGGACTGGAGAAGAGACCTGTGAAAACAGCTGAAGTGGATGGAGCCAGGGAGGAACTGAGGACGCTTGTGAAAGCCATTAAAGCAGCCCTGGAGCGTAACGACAAGTGAGCTAGAATGGCCCGACTGGATCTGTGTTTGGGTTATACTTACTTAACAAGATCTTAAAACCATATGGCAAGCATACAGTTACACTTTTTTTCTGTTTTGTTGAGTGTGATGTGCTGCTTTGCCAGCATCATACCTGTCATCTGGGCATTTCCATAGGCTATCACTTATGTGACTAGTATATTCTGCTACATATGGGGTTTGCATGGAAGGAGTTTGGGGAGGTTTCTGAAGGAATTGCAGATCTTCTTTCGTGGTTCCCTGAAAACTTATTGATAGTTGAGAAGGCTACAGATCTAAGGCACCTTATATGAATACCCTTATTATTATTTTTTAACTTAAAAAATAGCTTGTAATATGAGTTTTCTGTATAGTCTTCTAGGGTCAAATCACAATGGAATGGGATTTATTATTTGTAAGAATGAATAAAAGAATGATTAAAGTAACTCTGAAACACCCACAACATTCTCAAGAAAATGACAGAAAACCCCCAAATAACATTTTCCTTTAGTGTAACAGAAAGACAGAGAGCTGTTGCATTTTGCTCTAATTTGGTCTTGAGGTCTGTCTCACAAAAGTGGTTCTAAACTCTAGCCTAGCTGTGACAGAGATCCTGGGGATTTGGTTGTGGATGTTTAGTGTGCCCTTAACAGGATATGTTTTTATTCTGGCCTGCCGGCCTGATGCCTAAGTGTCTGACTTGTGACCAGATGTCCCTCTCACAAGACATTTGACTATTACTGGCAGATGCCCTTGAGGATCTTGGTTAATATGTATCCAGTTTATTCCTACAAGATAGCTGATCTCTAGGAAAACCCTGGCTGGGGGAATTGTTAGGATCAGGTGTGTGAGTCAGGTGAGACATGGAGGAGGTATACAACATCTACATGAAATAATAGAAGTTTGTTACTTACAGATCCCAAAGAAGAGAGGGCAGTACACTTCACAGAATTCGTAGAAAGGGGAGAGATGTCAGGAACTCCCTTGACCAATCAGCATGTAGGGAATGAGGGAAAGAGAGAGAGGACCTATGGATCAAGGCCTTTATTTGGGTCCACAGTGTTACCCAAGCAAGTTTGCCAGCAGAGAGTTCTAACTGGTGGGTTTAGGGCAAGAAGACTCAAAATCTGTGGAGTGACACGGTGACTAAGAGGGGGTTACTGTGGCACATCTACAAAGTTCATGAAGACTGTGATTGTCATTGGAATGAGCCAAGTAGGTTGTATCTTGCTGTCCCATGGTGGGGTCACCAGGAGGTGATTGTAAAGGCAAATACGGAGGGATCCTCCAAAAAATTTGGAACTTGTTTATTTAAAAAATGTGTATTTATTCTTACATGTTTAAACTTCAGTCATCTTCAAAGTACTCTCTGTTTGATGCCATATACCTATCAAGATGCTTTTTTCACTGCTCAAAAGAGTTTTTGAACTCATCAATTTTGATGTCCTTTAGTGCTTCTGCTGTTTTTTGTTTCACCTCTTCCACATCAGCAAAACTTTTCCCTTTGAGGACTTTTTCATCTGGGGGAAAAAAAAGTCACTTGGGGCAAGATCAGGTGAATAGGGAGGGTAGGGTATGGGGATCATGCCTTTTTAGGTCAAAAATTGCTGAACACAGTGTGGTGTGGGCAGGTGCAATTGTAAATCACACATCATGAAGTGGGCAAATACATTGAAAGAATTTCCAAAAAAATTCAGTGAAGTCGGATGCAGCCTCTCACAATAACACTAGCTGCTATTCTGATGCCAATGGCTTCTAGAACACTTACCTAGCAAGGGAAGCCTGTACTACAAGGGATCTTACCTCCAAAAAGATGATTTGTTTTTTTTTTCGGTTCCCCCCTGGTATCTGGGTTGACCACTTTGAGAAACTGGGAGGAGATAGAGAACCTGAAACTGTGTCAAGTGTGACTGAGCCTTGCCTCTGGTGTGAGGTTAAATTTGTATTCAACATGGATACTGAGGCAACACAAATTGCCAGAATCCAAGATAAATAAAAATAGAAAAGTAAGCATCAAGTGCCAGTGAACCATTTTTCATGCTCCTGCTGTAAGCCTTTTTGAGAGCAAGTAAAGTCTGGGGAAAAGTTAATGGAAGAGAGAACAGTGGAGCTAGTAGAAGGCCTAAAATTGTCCTAGAAGCACTGCCAGAGAGAAAATCCACCTAAGTGAGAAAGCTACAGGAATATCCTGGTAAGTTGATCAAAACACTGACTGCAGGGAGGGAACTTGGGAATGAGTATGGAAGGGGGGAAACAATTCTGAAATGATAATGATGTGAGTGAGAAGAGGATTGAAGGATTGAAGCATGCTTTGAACTGTTCAATGAAAGTCTAAAAAAGAGCAAGAAAGGCACATTTAGAATCCTGTAAAAGAAGAAAATCAGAGTGCACACAATCTTCTCCGTACCCTCCTTTTCTACCTCTTCAAACAAGCTCTCCAGTAATAACAAAACAAATTAAAAAAAAAAATCACAGAAGCACAATAAGCCAACAATAAAAAGCATAGCATAATTTGCTACGCTAACAGAAAAGTGTCCTTTTGAATTAGGAATCTTGCACACTACTCCAAATCATTAGCCCTGCCTGCAAAAATTTGTAGTGGTGTAGACAATGTTTATATGTACAAACTACTATAAAAAGAAAACAGAAAAGGAGAATCCAAACAGCTTAATTAAAATCCCTGCAACCCCTCCCCACCTGTGCATAAAGAAGAAGACTATAACAGAGCATTTTTAACTAAATTAGATATTATCAAAATGACATTTCAGGAAGTGAAAACAATCTGGATTCATAAGTGTAAAAAATAACTACAGACATTAAGAGTCAAAATTATAAGTCAAGACTAAATTATAACATGTTTAAGGAAGAATAGTTTTGAATGAAAATATAATAAAGGTCATTGGAGAAAATCAGGAAAATATCTAAAAGAATGAAAAGGAGACAAAGAAAGAGTTAGAAAATGTAGTTGAAATAGGAGACAGGCAAAGAATATCCAATTCACATATAATTAAAGTCCCTAAAGAAGAAAAGCAAAGCAATAGAACAAAGCATAAGTAATATTTGAAGCTATGAAGTTATATTAAATTTCTGGAAACTAAATGTAATGTACATATTAAAAAGGCTGTTATCATCATTATTAATTGATTGATTCCCCATTCCTTAAACTTGAAAGCCATAATACTACTCTGTTTCTCTTTTAATCTGTGATAAAATGAGCGAATGCTTGTCAAAATCGTAAACCACTAGGTCATTTGTAGACATGTGACATTAAGCTTTTTGTGGTGTTGATGTTTTTAACGAAATCACAGTGTTTTCCCAAGTATATGTGATACCTATTAGACTCCTCTTTTCTCTTTTAATTTATCAAAAATAAGAGAGTTGATTTAATTTATTTTGAACCAAGAAGAGGCTAGAAAGAGTTTTATTTTCCTTCTTTTTAAATTTCTCATATTTTATTTTTAATTAAGTAGAGTGGAGTTTTTAAATTGCATCTGTGGATGGAAGCATAATGCACAGGGAACTTGCAAAGTGTATTCCAGTAAAAGTAAGGACTTTCTAGAACTCTTGATTTGGTGTTTGCCTTTGAGTGTAAGATCCTAGTTATTTTTTGTCTTCTTTCTTCTTAATAATTCAAATCACAAATAATATCAATAAACATACAAAATAATTTATTTTAAATTAACTAACTTCTTTAACTAATAACTTATGCAATCTTGTTTAGAAAGTATTATTTTGTTTGTTTAACTTGGTAGACTTAGACTTTCATTTATAAACATCTTCAGATTACCTGTTGTGTTAGAAAATAAGATCAGTTCTATTTCTCAATGAAAAAAAATACTTGTGGCATCAAATAGACAAAATAGAAGGGTGCCAATGGAGTTCTAATAGTTCACTAATTTTTACTCTCAAATTGTAGACTCAGAAGTGAACTAGAGATGGAGCGTGTGTTGCTGCAGTCTTCTAAGGAGCAATCAGGCAGGTGACCATGTGATGATGGACCTCTGACCATTCTACTTTGACCATTGCATGAAGAATCTTCAAACTTGCCCCACTGTACATGGCCTCTTGACATTAGTCATTTGGAGAAGTTATTCAGAGAGTTTATTCGATTTTATTTATCTATTTTTTCTTATGATGCTCTGTAGTTATAAGGTAAGTTTTAAAATTTAATCTGAAGCCGGGCTCGGTGGCTCAGCCTGTAATCCCGTGCCTTTGGGAGGCTGAGGTGAGTGGATTGCCTGAGCCCACGGGTTCAAGACCCGCCTGGGCAGCGAGACCTCATCTCTACCATAAATCTAAAAATCAGCTGGGCGTGGTAGCGCATGCCTGTAATTCCGGCTACTCGGAAGGCTGAGGCGGAAGGATTGCTGGAGCCCAGCAGGTCGAGGCTGTGGTGGCCGGGAGTGGCCACTGCACTCCAGTCTGGGCGACAGAATGAGACTCCAACTCAAACAAACAAACAAACAAACAAACAAACAAAAAACAAAATTTAATCTGAAGTTGATGAAATGCCTTAACAATACAAGAACACAGTGGATCTCTTCAGAGTTTCTTCCAGGGTTAGGAGTCAAATTCCAGTTTCTGTTGCTTTGGGTACCTCTGGGTATTTAGTTTATCTGTATCCAGACACAACATTTGCATGGTCTTGTTATTCTCTAAGAACTTTGTGGAACATTGAATTAATTCAGGATCTCTTATGTAGAGAATTGTGTTAAGTTCTGACTAAGATATTTGGAATAGTCCTTAAGAAAATAGACTAAATGATATAAATATCATGAGGAAGCAATGAAGGACTAAAAGTTGTTTATCCTAGAGAAAATCTCTCAAAATATGTGACGGATTTTAGAGGGGTGGGGTGGTGAACCATTGCTCAGCACATCCATGTGGGTCTGAGATAGAGGAAGCTCTGAAATTGAGGAAGTGGAGCTTGTGGTTTCCAGGATAACAGGATCCAAGACGGAGTCCATGCTGGTATTCGGAACCTTTAGACTTCTATTTCCAGCTCAAAGAAGTAAGTGTTTTATAGTCAACAACACATCTTTAAGGCTATTCACATTTGGGATGCTCTGCATCTTGTGAACACGTTGTCAGCCTCTGCCCATTTCAGTCATCTGCTTCAAACAGTGAGTGGATGGTGGGGCTTGCTGGGCTGTGAGTCTTCCTTTCAGGTGATGTGGCTGGTGGAGACTTGAGAGTCTTGGATGTCATGTCAGCTAGTTTCCCTCACAACCACGTGCTCTTGCCGCTCTAAACTTGGTTATTTGACTGTCGTAGTCTCAGCTGCCTACCTGTTAAGTTGGGGTGAAAATAGAACTTCCCCCTTCCCTCTGAGGTTTGTCATGGCATGTGGTAGTCACTGCCTGTTGCCTCTTCCTCTTTTTAATATCACTTGTGAGGAAGTATACGTGGTTTATAGGAAATCAATTACATTTTATGAATTTTATAATAAATGGGTATTAAAATTATCTTAAATTTACATAACTTAGAATGTGATTAAATACTCTAGATAAGTTTGACTAAGGATCTTTTTCATTAATCTTGACTTCTTCTCACTGATGTAGTTAAATGCCATTTCTCCTCTAAGCTTGCTAAATAAAGAAATTATATTTCTTTCCCCTCAACATCCTTTAGGATAGGCTCTCAGATCTAGCCTGTTTTAAGTTTTTAGCAGAACTTAGCCTGAAAGGTTCTTGTTAGAGTATTTTTTTTCCTTCTGCCTGGTTCTTCTTTCCTTCCTACTAGCAACATGTGTGTTATTTTCCCTGCTGGATGTCTTTGCAAGAGTTTCTTGTTGCTTGGTTCTCTTCCCAGCCCCTCACCAGTTCTCCATCCGGGCTGGCTCTCTGCTTCTCTTTTTACCCCTTCTGAGGGCTCAGAAGTTGATTGATTCCCTCTTTCTTGTGCCCCATGGTTCATTCTCTGTAGGGTTCCACTCACAGACAGGTTGTGAAATGAGACCCCAGCTTGGTGGTTTTCTGTTTCCTTGCTGTCTCTTAAAACAAGCCTGTCATTAAAAAACAAAACAAATGTGTAAGGGCTTTATTGCTAACCACTAATAGAAAAAGAAAACAAAGCAAAAGATAAAGATCATTTCCCAGATGCAGTGACTAACTTTCTAGAAGTCCAACCAAATTTCCTTCATATTTGACCTGGCCAACTATTTCCAACACTCTACTGTTGTGATGGAAAAAATCATCAGGTGCCCATTGTCCTTCCTGCTTTATTCTTTCCCTAAAGGATTCTTTCTTTCAGGACCTCTCTCCCCTAACCATACAACTTTTTTCTGTGGAATTTCCTCATTTTGATTCCGCAGCTTTCCTCTTTAGTTATTTCTTGGGGTAGAAAAGGATGAGAATGGAGTTCACTGGCCTGACCTGCCCTCAGCTGATTGTTTTAGGCTGAAACCCTCAGTTCAGGTTAAGGTGGAAATCAAATACTTTGTTTTGTAGTTTTCCTCAGAGTTTATGTCGAAACTTAAATATAGCCACTTCTGTCTCCTCAGGTAGTTCATCATGTGTTTGCTTAACTAATTCCCCCAAAACCTAACCTCATGGTTTTCCCTTCTAAATTTAGCAAAGTTCAATGATGGCAATGACTTCCATCTTGTTTACGATCTACCAATAAGTATTACTAATCTTTCCAATTGCTTTTTTTTCCCATCAAAGAGGAATAGTTGTTCTTTCTAAAAGCATTGGGTCTTACCACTCTAATCTGTGTCTAACTGTGCTCATTGATAACAAATCACCCTTAGTGGGTCATGATGACTCTTTCTTCTTTCTGTATTCCTTAATTGTTGACATTCTTTGTAGTCTAGCATGTCTTTAGCGTAGTTCATATGTTTTTAGTTCTACATCCAATTTTCCTTCTAAAAACTTTTTTCTTGGATTGAGATCTTTATATCCACATGCCCACTGGACGTGACCTCTTTAGTGTCCCACATGCCCAAGATTAAACTCACCATCTCTTTCTCTAAATTGATATCTCCCTGACTCTTTCAGTGGATGGTGTCACCAAACACATGGAGGTGCAAGTCATAAAATATGTACTAGGTGTCTTTCACTGTCCTCTTTCTCAGCCACTTCTAGGACAGCTTGGAATAGTGGCCAAGTTGGATTCTAGCCAAGCTCTTTCTTACTTGTGTGCCACAGTGAATTCATTATTTCACTCAGCTACAGCTGAGCTAGAACCCAGGGCTGTTTTGATACCTCCCTCTCCTCTACATCCCAGATCCAGTCAATGACCAAAGGCGTTTTTCTTTTTTTTTCTATTTCGTAAACAGTTTTTGGGTCTCTCCACTTCTTTTTAGACTAGGGATACTCTCCTGATCTGATCAACTTGTTTAAATGATTGCAGTAGCTTTCCCACAGTTCTTCTTGATCCTAATCCTGCTCCTTCTGATCCACTTTCTGTACTGCATACAGATTGTGTCTCTCCCCAGAATAAAAGGCTTCAGCAATACTGACTGATTTCTTCATGTAGGTGATAAGGCCTTTTCAGATCTGACCTTTGTTTCCTTTCTAGCATCAACCCTTGATTCTGTCCTCTGGTCCCTCCTCACCCCCTTCTTCTTGTCTAACTTCCATTCATCCTTCAGGTCTGGATTTAGCCACATGTCTCTGGCAGAGCCATCCCTGGGTCTTGTTGGATGCTCCTCTGTCTCCCCACACAGCTTTTACTCCCTCACTATCACTGTCCTGTGTTTCTTGTTGGGTCTGTACTCCTAAAATAAAATCTCTGGAAAAGGATGTGGGTCATAATTCACCACTGAGCCTTTCCACCTAGCCTGGTGTTCACACAAATTATGTATTCAACAGATACTTATTGATTATATGAATAAATTAAATGAGAACTAGCACCATTTTTAGATTATTTTTATTGACATGCTTGGAGCTTTAGTCACATTATATGTTACAGTTATAGATAGTATAATCTACACAATATTTTAAATAATATATGATGATATTGATAAGAGCTGACATAATAAACACAACATTACTTTGCCTTAAAAATATTTCTAGAATTGTCTGAGAAAAATGCAATGGATGAGAAGCATCTTACTCTTATTCAGAAGGTTGAAAAGAAGAGATGTGAAATACTTGACAAGTGGGATGAAATACAGGCTCTGGTAACAGAAATTAAAACAACTTTGGTGCATACTGGAATTTCAGATATCACTGAGAATAGGATTAAAAGTGTAGAGGTATGCAACTTACTTATTTAAGTGTTTACATTCCTCCATTGCTTGAGGAATGCCTGGGCAAACATGTGAACCAATTTAATTTTGTCAGAGGATAAAAAGAATCATGAAATTTTGTTCAAATATATTTTTATTTCAAAATTTATATAGTAAGTAATTATAATAATTAAGAGGGTTATCTGAGACAACAAAAATGAAAGTCATTAAAAATTCTGTAGAACTCTGTTAATGGTCAAAACCTCATTGATATTTGTGCAGAATCTGACTCAACGTAACTTTTAATTATAGTTTATAAAAGGAAAGTGATTATTATCTTTTCTTATGTTTATGTTATTACATATATTTTTCCAGAACTACTTTTTAAAAATTTTATTTTAAAATTGTGAGGTACAATTCAGGGTTAGGTATACAAATATTCATTGTGCAGCTACTCTTGTTGATGAGGTGTGCCCCCCTTCCCCAGGCAGATTTCGACTACTGTCAATCCCACCTTCCTGCCTTCTCCCCACCCCCGCAGTTTCCCACTACTGTCAATCCTTTTCTTATAGTATTATGGTAGTTGTTCAAGGTCCACTTTTGAGTGAGAACATGTGATATTCAGCTGTTTGTTTCTGTGAAAGATTACTCAGTATTATAGACTCTAATTTCCTTCAGGTTGCTGCAAAGTTCTTAATTTTGTCCTTTTTTATGGTTACATAATATTCCGTTGTGTATATGTACCACATTTTTAAAATCCAGTCCTCTTTTGATGAGCGGCACAGTTGGTTCCATGTTCTGGCTATTGTGAACAATACAGCGATAAACATACGTATGCAGGTATCTTTTTTTTTGAGTTGGAGTCTCACTCTGTCACCCAGACTGGAGTGCAGTGGCCGCTCCCGGCCATCGCAACCTCGACCTGCTGGGCTCCAGTGATCCTTCCGCCTCATCCTTCCGAGTAGCCAGAATTACAGGTGTGCTACCACGCCCGGCTGATTTTTTGATTTATTGTAGAGATGAGGTCTCGCTGCCCAGGAGGGTCTCGAACCTGCGGGCTCAGGCAATCCACTCACCTCAGCCTCCCAAAGGCATGGGATTACAGGCTGAGCCACCGAGCTCAGCACAGGTATCTTTTTTACAGAGTGATCTGAGTTCTTCTGGGCATATTCTCAATAGGGGGATTGCAAGGTCATATGGAAGGTCGATATTTAGAACTTTTGGGAATTGCCACGCTGATTTCCACAGAGGATGTACTAGTTAACACTTGCACCAATGGTGTAGAAGTGTTCCCTTTTTGCCACATCCTCTCCAGCATCTGTTATTTTTTGAATTACTGATGATGGCCTTCTGACTGGAATTAGGTGGTATCTAGTGTAGTTTTTTTAAAACATATTTTTTGTTTTAAAATTGTGGGGTACAGTTAAGGGTTAGGTATACAAATATGCATCGTTCAGGCACCCTTGTTGATAAGGGATGTTCCCCCATCCCCAGACAATATTGACTACTGTTAAACCCACCTCCCTTCCCCTCCCTGCCCCCTCATAGTTTCCTGCCACTGTCAATCCTTTTCTTATAGTATTACAATAGATGTTCAAGGTTCACTTATGAGTGAGAACATGTGAAACTCAGATCTTTGTTTCTGTGAGAGATCACTCAGTATTATAAACTCTAGTTCCACCCAGGTGGCTGTGAAATTCATGATTTTGTTTTTTTTTTATGGCTGCGTAGTATTCCATCGTGTTTATGCACCACATTTTTTAAGTCCAGTCCTCTTTTGATGGAAAGCATGGTTGGTTCCAGGTTCTTGCTATTGTGAACAATACTGCAATAAATACGTGTGCAGGTATCTTTTTGATAGAGTGATTTGAGTTCTTCAGGGTATATTCCCAGTAGGGGGATTGCGGGGTCATATGGGAGGTCGATATTTAGAGCTTTTTGGAATCACCACACTGCTTTCTACAGAGGTTGCACTAGTTTACACTCCCACCAACAGTGTAGAAGTGTTCCCTTTTCACCACATCCTCTCCAGCATCTGTTATTTTTTGTTATTGATAATGGTCATTCTGGCTGGAGTTAGGTGATATCTCAGTGTAGTTTTAATTTGCATCTCCTTGATGATTAGTGAGGTTGAACACTTCTTCATGTGTCTGTTGGCTGCTTGTATGTCTTCTTTTGAGAAGTGTCCGTTCATATCTTTTGCCCACATTGTAATAGGGTTGTTTGTTTTTTTCTATTCAGCATATTTGAGTTCCTTGTAGATCCAAGATGTTAAGCCTTTGTCAAATATGGAATTGGCAAATACTTTTTCCCAGTCTGTGGGCTGTCTCCCTGCTCTCTTGATGGTTTCTTTGGCTTTGCAGAAGCTTGTCAGTTTAATGAGGTCCCCCTTGTCTATCTTATGTCTTATGGCCCATGTGTTTCGGGTTTTGTTCAGGAATTGGATGCCAGTTCCAATTTCCATAAGGGTGTGTCCTGTATTTTCTAAGGTTCTTATGGTTTGAGGTTTTATATTTAGGTCTCTGCTCCATTTAGAGCTAATTTTTGTGTATGAGGATAGACAGGGGTCTTGTTTGAATCTTCTGCATGTGGTCAGCCAGTTTTCCCAGCAGCATTTAGTGAATAGGTTCTCCTCTCCCCAGTGATGGAGGCTTTGTCGAAGATGAGTTGATTGAGAAATTGAGTTTTTGCTTATGGAATCTCAATTCTATTCCATTGTTCTATATGCCTGTTCCTGTACCAATACCAGCTGTTTTGATTATTGTGGCTTTGTAGTAAAGTTTGAAGTCTGGCAATGTGATACCTCTTGCTTCATTTTTTTTTTTGCTGAGGATTGTTCTGGCTATTTTTGATTGTTTGTGTTTCCATATGAATTCTTGTATTGTTTTTTCTAGCTTTGAGAAGAATGTTGCTGGTAATTTTTTTTTTTTTTTTTGAGTTGGAGTCTCACTCTGTTGCCCAGACTGGAGTGCAGTGGCCACTCCCAGCTACCGCAGCCTCGACCTGCTGGGCTCCGGCTATCCTTCCACCTCAACCTTCCGAGTAGCTGGAATTTCAGGCATGCGCTACCACACCCAGCTGAGTTTTTGATTTATTGTAGAGATGAGGTCTCGCCGCCCAGGCGGGTCTCGAACCCGTGGGCTCAGGCAATCCACTCACCTCAGCCTCCCAAAGGCGTGGGATTACAGGCTGAACCACCGAGCCTGGCTGTTGCTGGTAATTTGATGGGTATAGCATTAAATCTGTAGACTGACTTAGGTAAGATGGACATCTTCACAATGTTGATTCTTCCAATCCAGGAGCATGGGATATTTTTCCACTTGTTTGTGTCATCTTTGATTTCTTTGAGTAGTGTTTTGTAGTTTTCATTGTAAAAGTCTTTCACATCTTTGTTTAGGAAGATGTCAAGGTATTTCATTTCTTTTGTGGCTATTGTGAATGGGATTGTGCCTTTTATTTGGGTTTCTGTTTGTTTATTATTGGTGTAGAGAAATGTGATTGTCTTTTGCACATTTATTTTATACCCTGAGACTTTGCCAAAGTCTTTTATCAGTGCAAGGAGGCTTTTGACAGATTCTCTTGGGTTTTCAAGGTACACAATCATGTTGTCTTCAAAGAGAGATAACTTGACTTCCTCTTTTCCTATTTGGATACCACTGATCGCCTTCTCTTTTCTTATTGCTCTAGGCAGGACTTCCAATACTATATTGAACAGGAGGGGAGAGAGTGGGCATCCTTGTCTTATTCCAGTTTTCAGGGGAAATGGTTCCATTTTTTGTCTGTTTAGGAGTATGCTAGCTGTGAGTTTCTTGTAGATGGCTTTTACTATTTTGAGGTGTGTTCCATGTATGCCTAGGTGTTCCAGGGTTTTTATCAGGAAGGGGTGCAGGATTTTATCAAAAGCTTTTTCTGCATTGAGTGATATAATCATGTGGTTTTTGTTCTGACATCTGTTGATGTATTTAATTACATTTATTGTCTTGCAAATGTCGAACCAGCCTTGTATCACAGGGATGAAGCCTACTTGGTCATGATGGATGTTTTTGAGATGTGTTGTTGAATCCGATTTGCTAGGATCATGTTGAGAATTTTGGCATCTATGTTCATCAAAGATATTGGCCTGTAGTTCTCTTTCCT